CTGTTCCATATTTTTTATTATCGATTTATTATTTTTACAATTGTAACGCAAAAACTCATTACTATTTTAATATATTTTTACTTCAAACGATTATTTATATATATATATAAAATAAAGAGAAAAGATAAAACATATTCCCACTTTAAAAATTATCATTTTAATTTATTTACTACTTAAATATTTAAATTTATAAATAAAGTTTGATTAAATTGCATTGCTGTATTTTAAGATGTGTCAAACATAAAAGGAATATGTAGAATATATTTCATTTTAAAATAATTATTTACAATAATCTAAATATCAAAGTGCACATTAGCGGAAGATTTAAATATAAATATAATATAAATGACAGGAACTCCTGTGATGATGGAAACAATTACAATTATAGAGACAATTATACTATTCATTTAAATGTCAGAAGCATCTACTTTGACCAAATTTGTTATTAATCTTTTGCCCAATTACATCATTTTCAATGAACAATATAGAATGCAATAAAATTGTAGAATTTGTAATTAATAAGTTAAATATGTTGCGAATCAAAGTATTTTATAATTAAATATTTCTCGAAAAATTTGCAAAATCAAGAACAAAATGTATGAAAAAGTTTGCATTAAATAAAAGGGATATGCTCCAAAAAATAATTTTTAACAATGTAATTTATTTCAATAACAATATAAATATTCAATGTAAAATTATAAGTCTTCGGATATTTCATTATTTTTACACTTAGGCCTACCTGTATTTAAATGCCAAGGCCATCGAACTCTCAGAAATACTGCGTTTGACTTCCAATATGGACAGAATTCAAATGAAGATTGATCATTTAAATATTCAGTATAAAAATTATTTTATAAAATTTTGCATGTATTGTTTATGTTACAGTATCAATGTTGAACTTATTTAGATTTGAAGAATGTCAAACTATCGGAAATACATTGATTTTCGATGTGGATAGGATTTGAGCGATAGATAATGGATTTTACATGATATCTCGCTCTTCTAAAAGATTTGATCATTTCTAGTATCTTTCCAAACGTGATGAAAGATTGCGATTTATATCTATATAATAAATTTTTCATGTAATATATTGAAACATTTTATAATAAATTAAATATTTCTAAAAAAAATTGCAAAATCGAAAGCAAAGTGCTTGCAGATTTCTGTGTTAAATCAATAAAATATATCCTGAAAATTATTTTTTAACAGTTTTTCTTATATTTCAACACCTATCTATTTTTTCGCGAGATAAACATCGCGCTCATATAAAAGTAAGGCAAGAGGGACATTTTTTGTGTACATTTTATTGTACATATTTTACAAAATAACAATTCGGTGAGATCTATGTCAAAAATATTTTTCTCGATTACTATACCGTTTGACCATTTCGTGTTTAACAGTTAATGATTTCAGATGGACATTGTAATTATCGCTCGCTTATCATTGTATTACGCTTCCTCGTCGTAGAATTCGTGTTTTATACTATGTAATTGACTATAGATATCGTTAAATATAATCTACGAAGTCGACCAGTAACAATGCATATATTTCTTTTTATTTTAATATTTTAAAACATAGATTTAACGTATATATAGACAGGAACATTATCTCCGAAGTATACTGTTCGATTTCTCTGTACAAATATTCCTTAGTTATATTGTTCACCAAAAATACAATAGTATCTCATCGTATATAAAATATTTTTTTCTTCTGCCGTTTGCAATTATTGTCTATATCTTCATCATTCTAACTAATGGAACAAATACTATGTAGGGCTCTGAATGAAGTTTAAACGACTATATTTCTTTAGTTTATATCATTCATATTATAGATGAAGGTTTGCAATTTGCAATCCGCGGCGGCAATCAAATGGCAACTTTTCCTTTGCGATATCGTTTTCTATAAAAGTTTTACAAGTAACGAGAGAATAAAATGGTTTAAAATATATATATCGTCTTTTGAACTTTTATTTGCAAAAATTGGTTTTGTACAGGGAATCTTATATATTCCAGCAACTTTTTTCATATAAAATATTTTACACATCCGTCCTCAGATTGTATATTTATTGTCTGTGTATTTATAGCACATTTTTTCATAATACAATTATTATTTATTGTTTGTGTATCCGAACTAATAAAATAAAAAAAGGGTATTCTGTTTTTTGTATAAAATAAAGTATAAATAACGTTCGCTATATGGCGCTACAAACAATGAAAGTTTTTGAAGTATTTGATTGCATAATAAAACGTGTCTCCCCAAGAAAGAATTTATATTTGAAATTTTTTAGGAGCGTGTTTTTCTTGTTTCTCTTGCTTCATTTTACTTGATCTCATTTCGCATCAACAAAACTCATAAAGCGACGAATATGATTCAACGGTAAACCCCAGATACATTCATGCACTGTTAAATCACGTAACTGCAACGCGTCGTATCATGATTATTTTTCTTTTTCTTTTTACGTCTAAATGTACATCTAAATGTACTGTGCTATCTTAATCGGATCCACTTTGAACGCAGTTCGCAAAAAAGACACACGTACCGAAGAAGCGCGTGCGAAATTATTCTTTCTGCGGGGAATCGGAATATCTGCCATGTCTCTTTAACTTTGATTTCAAGCAATTCCAGGCCATAAAAGCGATAATACTGAACATGTATCGGCCGAAAGGCGATGTCGATTTGGATATGAATCCCCATCACGAAGACTAAATATTAGTCTTCGACGCGGTATCTATAATATACGTAGCGTACGTAAAATACGTACTTCATACAGTAATATATACACGGAAATATAACGCCGCCTCTACGTTTTTCTTCTCCCTTCCTCTTTTTTACGGAATATTTTAATTTAGAATACTATACAGCGTACCGTTCACATAAGCTGTATAGTAACCGACGCATTTGTGCGTCGTGCGAAATTAATCTCAACCAAGTATCGCTATAAATATTAAAATCTCTCTAAACACAAAAGCGTGTTATAATCATGTCAGATTGCAAATTAAATCGTTCACACAATGTTGGAGATAATCGTCGACGGGACGATCTCAACTTGTAAATGCACGTTTCAGCTTTCAAATGCTGTTTCCCCTTTCAAAGCGATGCTACTCCATGCATAGTTTCGCCAAGGTTCATCCTTGTACTTTTCGCGTAAATTTCCGAATCGAATAATGCTACCTCGAGAAGGTTTGATATTTTGATATTTAAATAAAATTAATCTTTTAACAACTGCGCACTGATATACCAACAGACACCAAGCTGCAGTCATCACGTTTATATTGTGCAATTTCAATTTTTCTCTGCAAAATCTTCAGAAATTGCTTGAAAAATATTCGCTAAGTGTTAGATAGTAAATGCTAGTAAATCATTCTGTCACACGAGATTCTGCTGCTTTTCGTACTCACGATATCTCACGTCATAGGCTCGATTTTTAACTCTTAGTTTAACTCTTAGTCCGCTAATGCATTCTATCTCTTCAGAACCGAAAGACGTTCTGTGTACCATTAATGAATAATTCAGAAGATAAAAAATTTTTGAATTTGTCACTTGCGTAAGGAAGACAAAATTCTGATTAAATGCACCGCGAGAGTCAAGATAGGATTTTACGCGATGAATATTTCAAGCTCGAGTAAGTCTCCAAGAGCTTCTCCAAAACTTCCAAAAATAGGTCGTGTGGCAGCTTCTAAATATCTATCTAAATTTCGTCGTATACGAAGGCAACTATTCGAAGACACATACGCGTTGGTACGACTACACGTGTGTTATTTGTACGCGTGCTCCGTGGAAGAATCAGAGTTCTCGCTGAGCCTGAAGATGAACAAACTACAGAACTACGGAGCTCTACATTAAATTGCTATCGCATTTTTCGCGATTGTAATTTAATATGCAACGTCATAAATTATTCTAATTGTCCATGGAAGATAATCGATAATCTCCAGTTTCGCCAGTTTTCTAATTCTTAATATATTGATAAATTATTTTCTAAAATCTTGACATTATTAAATTTTGAGACTAGCAAATTTTAGGCTTTGAGTTATGCGCTCGAAACATATTTCGTCAAATATATATTATCGAGAAATCCGCAAAAATAATCGCCATGCATTTACTTAGTAATATATTGTTAATTATATGCTTCTGTTGCTCATTCTTGAAGAAATTAATTTTTAAACTTTAGACTTGAATTCCGAAGATAAGATTTGTTCCGTATTTGTGAAAATACAATCGTAATTTCGTCTTTCTAGGCGACGAATTAATTTGCCATGTGCTATCGCACGACTCCACATCTTCTGATATATTAGCTAATGAGCATAATAGCTAATAAAACCTGAGTACATGACTGCTCGATTTGACAAGGTACTAACGATCAACCACCTGTATCCTGCGTTCATAAAAAGATCATAAATTATTGAGATATTTGCATCAATAGAATCGCGCCTATCAAGAATAATTTGAGCGATTTTCGCAAAGTACGAACGACAATATCTTGTCATTTAATTAATTCTTAGTGCAGGATATAAGTGGTGAATTATTAATGTTTTGCCAAGTGTGGTACCGTTATGACCGTCCATCCGTGGAATTTTTCAGCGGACTGACAAACTGATGATTTGGATTTGTAACTGATGATTTGGTAAATACTTTCAGACGACCACAGCCTCATAGGAATGCCCTTTCGATCCGACAGTTCTAAGTTATGCGTTCCGCCTGTTGTCGAAGAACGCTATAATTTGCGAGTTTCTGCAAAGAAAAACGCATCGTGTTGTATCGCTCGAGCATCCGTAATTCATTTCATTGTTGAAACAATGAACCATTATTTCAAACGTTATAACTAAAAGTTCAAAGAAATGAAATAAAAATTAATTAAATAAAAATTTTGTCACCATATGAGAATTTTCCTGGCATAGGTTTGTTATAATAAAATTAATATCATAGTCCTTTTAAAAAAGACTGATGCATAATAATTTACGTGTAGTACGTAAATTAATATATCAAAATTATAATCATATAAGAATTAATCTTACTATAGTCAAGGCGTATCGAAATCTTGATCTCCGACTAGGTAGAGAAATTGGAAGGCAATCGCCAGCAGGCTGATCCCAAGCAAGTCACCCATTGCAGTCAGATATGGGATCGCTGAATTGTCAGGATCTATCTTGCGTTTCCACATCCAATGAATCATTATGTAGGCGATGTAAAGGAGCGCCGCAACCTGCAGCATCGCCGCGCAGAGATAAACAAAGACGAAGAGCGGCGTCATCGACGTGTTGCCGTCTTTCATATAATTGATCAGATAAATGAAGATAATGTGTCCCGGTATTACCATCGTCATCAGGACTCTTGTAGTTCTGGCGTGCATACCTGAAGAGAGACGAGGCAATGATAAAAAAAATTTCGATAATTATGGAAGTCTTAATTATTTATCAAAGAATAAAGGAGAACACCTTTCCCAAAAAAATTAGCAATTGGAGTAATAAAGATGACAGGGTGTGTGTGGCCCGGTGGAATCAGAAGCGTGCCAAGTTCGGCCTGTTTATGAAGAGCTGTTGATATTCTGCTAGCCTGAACAGCTACCAAATTTCCACCGACGCCGTTAATGACTGGCTGGAATACTGTAAGGTTCTCGAAGCGCGACACCATAAATTCCAATATGAGACCGCCGCAACTAAAGAAAATTTTGTATTTATAAATTATCCTTTATCTCACTCAAAATGAGATATAACAAGAGTATTTAATAAAAGATCTTTGATAATTAATCGTTGCCAAGCTTTAAGACTGATATATAAGAAA